AGAGGCCCGGCGATCCACCCGCAGATGCAGGCTCGCGACCTTTCGCTCCAGCAGGTCCAGGCGGCCCGCAAGACGATCGAGCTTGCCTTGATTCCCGGCCTGGGCGGCAGCATCACCGCAAGTCCCAAGGCCAAGTGCAATCTCAAGCACGAGGACACGTTGACGGAGGCGGTCAACCTCAGGGCCCTGTGTCGGACCCGCAGCCGGAGCGCTCGGACGAGAGTGGCGTTCGGGAGGCGCCAAGTACTCGTGCTCGTACGAGGGCACCTCCGCCCCTGCTTGACCGGAGAGAAGAAGTCCACTTCCACGTGGAGCGGACCCTCCAGGAGCAACGGCGTCGCGGTAAGCGACAGCTCCTAGTGAAATGGAGGGGTTATGCCCACTCCGAGAACACGTGGGAGCCGATTGAACGGCTCCTGATTGACGGCCCGAAGGCTGTCGCAATCTGGGAACAGAAGCGGCGGCAGCTTCATAAGTAGTCCGGGGCTTCTTGCCCGAACGGGGTACGGACGTTGAATACACTCCGTACCCGCGCTCATCGTGAGCGCTGGAAGCCGCGCGCTTCAGGATGTCCCTTGGCAGCATGAGCTTGCTGACCAAGTGGGCAAACCAAACACGAAGATCACGCTGGTCCAGGATGCGGGACAGCAGCTGATCTTCATGGAGTTCCCGTAACTCCGTGGGTGAGTACTTAAGAGACTCCACCCATGCCCAGAACATGTCCTCACAAGTGGTCGGGCATAACCCAGGGGTATCCCCAAAGAGGATAGAGACCACCCCGGGTCTCGGGCTTCTTACGACAAGTAGTGAAGTACTTAAGGGGGATGCGGTGTGGCGCGAGAAGCACACACCGAGCAGCCTTCAAGTTGTCAACGAACAACTGTTCTGTCTGAACAAGGGCACGTTCGTAAATGCCCCTAGAAGTGTGGCCACCCACAAGGCCACGAGGAGCAACGAGAAGCTCTAAGAAGAGGTCAGCCCCAGAGCTCTCCTCGGGAGGCCAATACCCTCTTAAGTTGATGACAGCTCCCTGGCTGACGGGTGTCACCACCGAACCCCCACGCACACGCTGGGCAGCTTGGAAATCCTCCTGCTGCTGGTCGAGGTCATTCGTGACCTCCCGGGGCTCAGAGATAGCACCCTCCTCCTCCTCTTCTTCCTCCTTCTCCTCTTCATCCGAGGAGTCGAAGATGCCCCGATGGGAGTGCCGAGTCTCCTTCTCCTCGCGGAGTAGAGACTTCGAGGCTGTACGCTTTTTTGAGGGCTTGGCGCCTTCGGCTTTAGAGGCTTTTGCACGCGCAAGACCCTCGGCAAGCGAGAGACGTTTGCGAGGATTCTCTTCCTCATCGCCCCCAGCTTTGGGAGTGCCCTTAGCCTTGACAGCCAGACTCTCAGAGCGCACAGACGTTCTGGGACTGTGATCACCTTGATCACTAGCGAGCGACCGCACGCTGTCATCCTTGTGCTCGCTGGGCACTGGGCTGTGCCCTCACGCAGGAGCATCGTGCGTGCTCTCGGACTCGGCATCGTCCTCACTGCCAGAGTCGAACTCACGTTCTACGAACCGAGGGTTCAGACGATTGTCTGGAGAGGCCGAGGGCGACGGGCTGCGGCGCTTGCTTTCTCGCTTGCCCACAGCCGCGTCACCCGAGGAACCGATCGGCTCGGAGGCCACCTGAGTAGCCTCCTTAAGTGCCGTGCCTTTGCCGTGAGGCTTAGTGCTCTTGGCTAGCGCCTTACCGGCAGCAGCCTTGGAGCGTGTCTTAGCACCGCTCTTTGCTGTGCCACGAGGCATGGTAAACGGTCGAAGTGGAGACCTCGAAGAAGAGCGCACAGACTGCTGCTCGAGGCTCTAACTGTGAAGTGAGCCTCCGCCGCGCTCGCGCGGCCAAGTCGATGGTTTTCGACTTTGAAAATAAAAGTTTGAGACGAACACCTCTTCATTCTGATTGGTCGGTAAATCGAGCCTAAGTGGGGGAGGATGTAACGGGGTACGTAGCCCTAATTGTACCCTGGTTACATGAAGTGTGACACGTCACACTTCAGAAGTATGACACGTCATACTTCGGGATATTTGGTACAAAGTACCAAGATCGTTCAAAGCCAACCATTAGATAACAGTCTCAAAACGTGTGTCTTAGCGTATGGTGCTTAATTTCGCATAAAATCTTATTTTATGCGAATTCCATGCCTTATTCCGGAAAACATGATTCTTCAAAAGCTTGGTTTTCGCATTTACCCTGCTATTTTTATATATTCGCATCTCATGGTTCAGGCCGTTACTTCTGGGATAAGTACGATCCTATGAAAACCAGTTGGCTACATTTGTGGCCCAAAAATTTAATTATGGGGGTTTCTACTCAAGAGTCGATCTATTTCAACGACACCTGGGTTCTGCCTATACAGTATCAGGTACTCTACAAGTGCAAATACAGAAGCTAGACACTTCATCTTCCTCACTTTCCAACTTGCCATCAATCGGCCAAGGGAGTGACGGGCCGAAGTACTGTGAACGTCACACGCATACCCCTGTAGGTCATTGTGGAGTTTAAGACGGCGCGTGGTGTGGTATTAGTGAGCAACTGGCATTAAGCGACTTCCGTGGTTTTTTACCGCTTTTAAGTTGCTGCCTAATCCTCTCTAGCTGCACGGAGCCTGATTACATCCATTTTGACGACAAGTTGGAAAGTCAAGCGTAGCGTTATAGCAAACAGTAATCTATTTAATGTCTTTAGTCTTAGGAAGCTAGGAGCAAACAGAATAAGACCGGGAAAAGGTGCCTTACAAAGCATGATTTAGGGAGTCGGCCGATTCGTATTGGGTCTCGCGCTGAGATGTGGATAGGCGAGAGCGAGCGCTACATGGTCCAGGGCGCGAGCGCTGCTGTTGCCAAGCCCGGTAGACGCTGGGTACGAACACGCTCGCCCATTGACTGATACTTGGACAGCACCATATCGTAGTGTTCGCTGTCGTGAGCTCGTAGAGGCATCAAACCTACATGGAAGTTGGTCAACGCCACACATAGCCGAGCGACACCATCAAAACGGTTCTCGTTCCACTTAAAGGTCGCATAGGTAGCTTTCCACAGTATACACATCCGGCCAATATAATTCTCAACCAGGACGCGATCTGAAGAAATTGCACGGTTGCGGGAAATATCGTCACGGTCAAGAGTGCCTCCGCGCGGTTGTTTCTTTGGCTGGATCGTTGAAGCACCCGCCCGGCACCCTGGTAACCCTTGTCTACTAGCACGGCCCACATATGTGGAAACTGCGTTGGTTCAGCTCCCATTTCAGCAGTTGTCCCGTCCTCCTTGCGCAACATCTGACGACGACTCGTGAGCCTGTCGAGCATCATCGTCAGATCCGACGTTGATCCAGGAGAATGATCTGAAACATCAACAGCGAGACCTGGTGGTGTCACAGAGCACTCAATCTTGAGCCCATACAGCTTGTATGGGGAGAAGTAGACCTTCTGTTCTGCAAAGCGACCGCTAGGCCGATATGCTGGCTGGAACTTGACGTCAGTAGCGTAGAGAGCATGTGGATAGTTCGTAAAGGTGTTTCCAGCTTCCATCCGCTCGGACATCCCTACGCGCTTGACCATCTGGGAGTACAACACGGGCTTGATTGTCTGAATGACACGGTGAGCCATTTTCTCCAGCGTCATAATCCCGATGTTGAAATCGATCGCGTGCTTCTGCCATGTGTCAAAATGCTTCCACACGGTCAGGGTAATGAACATTGCGTCTTTCCCGGACACAGACGGTTTACGCCCACGACCTTGCGTCCATGTAATCGTCACCGCAGATTCCACAAGAGCCCAAAGCGCATCCAGCTCGGGCGCAGAGAAGTTAGTCATGCCCTTTAGCACACTATCACCACCTGCCGCAATATACTCATTCAGAATAGGTGAGCCAGAATCGGAGGCTTCTTCCTCTATATGGCGAGCGACATCGCCATTGTTCTCGTGGCTAACAACGAGGTTGGAGGTCTCGTCCTCCCACTGTCGGTTGAGGCGGTCGAACACTTGGCTGGCTGTACTCGGCATCTTGGTAATTGACAAGTGAATCTGAACTTCCTCTCTGTGCTTTGATTTTTTTCTCCAAATTAAATGGCCAGGATTTCGCGAAAACCAGATATGTTATAGATAATACGATGTCGCACTAGCTTCAGATACATATTTTTCAAAATGATACCACGCTGTTATGTATACTTGAATATTACAGCTGCGGCCTAGTTATATTAAAAGTGATAGAGCAATATGCGAAAATATCGCAGCTTAGAATTATTATGGCGTTTTAAATTTGAAACTGTTTTGTTTGCGTTGTATCGTGAACAAATACTGCTATATAATGTACATGCGCATAACTGACGAAAAATTCACTTTTTTAGTCTGTGGTCTATTGGTTAACGACATCGCATTTCTATAGGTGACTTATAGTTTGTATTAAACCCAAGCTTTATCTACCTTTAAATATACTCAGCTTACATTCTACCTTAATCAGGTCACTTCGCTCTCTTTCGAATATTGAGGGGACCTGTGAGCTGCCGTTCACTGAGAGTTTGTAAGCTCTCGGAAGATAACTTCCTCTAGCGCAATGTGCTGTGTGACCCCGTCACAACCTATCTCCCACCGTCAGACCAAGCAAGCGAACAAAAGCCCAAGCGAAGGCGTTAGCTGCTGATTCTGCATTTTACGAACAACAAATGGCATAATCATACCAGCACATCCACAACTGAGGCATTTTCTGTTTGTAATGAAAATTAAGTCGTAAGTTATGACCCTTTGCTTGCAAACGGTATACCGGTTATAATCCGGGTACTTTCAGGTACCATGTGTACACCACACCAAGCGTTGCAAAAAGATTCGACAACGAGTTTCCAAATACGGTATATCTAATTGATTGAGCATAAATTCTGCATTTTATGAGCAACAAATGGCATAATCATACCAGCACATCTCCAACTGAAACACCATGACACCATTATTAGAAGTAGGCTGGACAAGCCAGCTATCAGCTCCACAACAACGGCAGTGTGCGTCACTTCGACTCGCGCGCAACGATGGAAGTACCTGCGCCGCTGCTGAATGGCTCCGTCACGTATCTGGTGCTGACACTACTCGCGTGCTTCGCTGGCATCGGCATGGGCGTCACAGGCAGAATGAGCCGCGAGAACTCGTCGTACGTTAGTCGTTTCGCTCAAAAATTCTCCAATCTGCGTCACTAAATACCCAAATGCAATTTACTTGTGGTGTCTATTGCAGGATCTTCACGCTGCTGGCCTTTATGACTGGCCTTTGCCTCTGGATGTTCTGGTAAGAGCGAGATACAAATCTGAGTTAGAATGGAGCTTCTCGACTGATTTTTCTGCATTTCCTGTAAATACAGGGCTTGTTGTTGGCTGCACCAGTGGCACATTCTGGTGGTTCCCACATACGGCGCGGAATAGGAAGAAACCCGCTGAGAATAGCGTTCGACTGTGACCCGAGTTGAGTTGGACGAAACCAACTTCTAATGCCGACGGCAAGAGCATGGACTTTGATTTAAACGAAAGACAGTCCCTTACTAAATAACGGAGCAGAACACGAAGCAGATTTATTTTTTGCAACTCCAGTGAGGAATCGTCTGCTCTTGTTTCATTTCGGTGACGGCTGCTCTTACCGTGCACTGCACTCTCCAAAAAACGCTACGACCTAAAAGTTAAATCGGATACTGCCTCCGTCTACAATTGCCGCTTCACCGACCCCAAATGAAAACTGGTGCGCACTGTAGTCCATGTCTGGTGTGACATCTAAGTCCTCCTCATCTTCACCGTCGAAATAGTCACGGATAATACGCACAGACTTATCGTAGATGTCTGCAATAAACACAAGAGATCGTTAGACATTGCACTGACGTCAGCTATTGACGATGCAGGGACAGCGCACCTTCTTCTTGGTGATACTGCAGGTTCTGGATCAGCTCGACGCCGTCCGCTTCTTCAATGTATCGCGCCATGCGATTCTCGGTATCCGTCAGCGATGTATCTGCCTCTCCAGCCTGAAGAATGTTCTCTAGAGCGTCCAATGATACGTTAATCACGCGCGGGTCTTGGACGTCCAGAAGCTTAACTAACGGTGGGATGCAGCCTGTAAACATCACAACACACAACACTTAGTAGCTGCAAGGTAAGCCAGACTAACAGAGCCTTCGCAGTACCTTGCTGAACTAAATATTTGATCTGCTCTGTGGAGCCTCCACTCGTAGCGTTCAATATCGCCCACGCTGCTTCTTTTCGAACGTCAAACTCCACCGACATGAGCTGAAACAGCAGCGGCGGGATCACATTGGCGTCGATCACTTCCTGAATTTGGCTTTGTGTACCAGCTGTAATGTTGGAAATCGCCCAGCAAGCTTCCTTGCGAATAATCTTCTTCTCGTGCTTAAGCAGCGGTACAAGCCGCGGCAATACCACCAAATCCAGCATCAGCTGCGTCTGCTGATCATTTCCAGTCAAGATATTGCCAATTATGCGAAGAGTAGGCGTCTGAATTGCTGCCACCGTGTGACCTACCAGATCCACTATCCGACTGCAGACTCCAGCGTCAATCACAGCCTGAACATTCGACGTCGTGCCGTCCGAGAGATACGAAAGCGTCCAACACGCATCCGTAACAACTTCATCGTCCCGTGAATGAATCAAATGCGGAAGCAGATCCAGCGCCGGTCTAACGAGGTCAAAATCTGGTCTGGGTTTGCCTCGGCACAAATTCGACAGCGTCCACGTTGCGTTCCGAAGTATCGTGAGCTTCCCTGAGTTTCTTCGCAGCACTGCCAGCAACGGCATCATCGCGCCTGCACTCAGCACCAAGTCGCGGCACTGTGGTGAATCGCCCGAAATATTTCCAAGTGCCCACACCGCTTGTTCGCAGACGTCTTCGTTTGGAGAAAGGAGCAGCGTACACAGCAGCTCTACAGCGCCGCATCTGATCACTTCTTCTGTGTGTTCCGTAGTACCCGACGCGATATTTGTAAGCGCCCACGCCGCCTCAAACTGCACCTCTGGACGGTCATGTTGCTTCAGAAATTTCACAAGCAGCGGGACAACTCTCAGGTTAATAACCTCCTCAATAGGCGGGTTGGTCTCTGCACAAAGCACCGAGTAATAGAGAAGTCCCGTCTACCATGAGAAAACGTCTTCACTATCGTCTATAACCTCTACATCACGTACCAAGCGACAAAAGTCTCCTCAACTTTGACACGGCGTTCGACTGCTCCATCGGGTCCAGCGACTGGATCATTGCCGCAATCTTAGGCAAGTCAGACACCTACAACAGCCAGCACATTGATATTTGTCAGTAAATATCATTAGGGACCCCTAGGCAGCAAGGTGACGCGTACACTGACGCCGTTTAATGAGCGCATGGGCTCATCCGGACTGGTATTCGTCTTATCAGTCAGTGTTTCCAAACTCAGGGCATTGCTGTTTTCCTGCAGTAGGTATACCCGGTTAGTGAGTACAGTTACCGAATCAGTTTCTCGATAAATGCGCATCTATAAGTCTGTACCATGGGAATCATGCGTCTCCGTTGGTTAAGGCGCTCTTCGCGCCGGTCCCTGCGAATCTGAATGGTGGTGTCCTCACGTCTTCGTCTGGTCTCGCCCGCATCGATTCCTTTCTTAAAACTTCGCATGCGATCGGCGACGCGTGCCGCGGAGGAGGAGATGCTCGTAGCCATCCTGAGATGTAGACCCGAGTGCCGCTGGCGGAGCCTAAATCGCAAGTGCTCTTTAGCCGAGTAATCGCCGAGTATGGCCATTTGAATCCCACCGATTGCCTCGTATCATTTATGAAAGGTAAGCTGGGATATTTAATTTATGAATGACAAGAGGTATTAATAAAAGGAAATTTACACTTTCCAGCCTTTCTCTTTTTTATTTAACTGTAAAAAGTACTTACTTCAGTATTTCGGAGTAATACTAGTTTTTTTTAGTTTTTTGTCATCAGGTAGCTTTTTTTTTAAAAAAATGATTTTTAATAAATTGAACTTAAAAGTCCAATTTACTGTGGACAACCCTCATTTTTTAAACACGTCCAATTACCGTATAACAATTGTCATATCCAGCAAATTGTCGAATGCGAGAATGCATTATAGCCAATTAAAGTCGAGTAGATACATTCTCAATTCTTTTTTGTTATATCCTTCACCGAATGGGTGGTCTACGAAGTGAGGCACTTTGGTTAGGCGCAGCAATTTCCTGTACCGCCACCAGATCGCACTCATTTCCAAATGACCAGAGGAAGACAGAAGCTCGGTGAAACCGGCGGAATACGGGCTAGCAAAAACAAGCGCTCGGTGTCCACGCATCAGTTTCGACTGGACGTAGTGCTCTTTTTTATTGTAAAGAGTATGGGGTCGACCCTCGACAAATTCTTCTCATATTTGTGTGGATCTCAGCTGCAAACCAAGCGGACGAGCATCTACCTGTGTCGCAAGCAAAACGACATGCTACTCCAGTTGTGTAACTCTCTGTCTTTGGCTAAGCTTCGTAAGATCCGTGCAGTCGGGACCGGCTCAATTCTTCCGGCTGATGCTGCAGTGCATATTGCTAAGTGGGTCAACGCGTACCGTACTCAAGGTATCCCGGTGTCATTCTGAATGCTGCACCGGAATGCTCAGTCGGTGGTTCACGACGTTGGTGCTCCTAGAAAGTTGACGGCAGCATCCCGGGGCTGGGCGAAGGGATTACCAAAGCGACACCGCCTGGCCATGCGTGCGCAGACTCGACAAGATTATGTGTGACCAGATGACGCTGACGCTGCACCGGAAGTTTTCAATGTCAAGGTGAAGCAAAGGATGGAGGAGCTCGGTGTCGACGTTGTGCATAAGGCTGGTCAAACGCCAGTCGTCCATGAATACCTACCATAATCTACGATCACTGCAAAGAGCTCTTATACTATGTGGGTGCTCCCCACGGGCACTGACAAGGAGATAGCGACACGTCCAGAAAACGGCAAAAAAGGCATGGGTTTGACAAACTGCTATACAAAACGGTGGAGTCACTTCAAGCGCAACACAACATCTACGAAACGTTAACGGCTGGTGCAAAACAATGGTCTCACGGTTGACTTTCTACGCTTTCACTTTGGTGTGAAGGCAAGCATGGAAATAAATGTGCTGCTTTTGCTAAATGATTTCTTAGGTCATTGAACGGAAGCTGTTTTAGCATACGCCAAGAAGCTCAACGTGGACCTGATGCACGTACCAGCGGGTTGCATTGGAGTATGTCAACCAGCTGATATCGCATGGAGCTGCCCACTGAAGCTTCGTCTACGCGATCAATGGATTATGGGTTTAGAGGATCAAATGAAGACGCAGGAGCTGGTAATGGCTGCGTCTGAGCCGTTCTCGATGGTTGCTGCATCTCGGTCGAATGCCATTTCCTGAGCTGCAGGATCATGGGGTGAGCTAACGACAGCCACTATTGCGAACGGTTTTAATGGAGTGCAAAAAGAAAATGAAGACGACAAGGAATCCAAGTGCAGATAGATAATGCCGTACGCCGTCTAGAGCAGTTGGGTCTTTTCGATATGCGCATCGGCGACGTGTCAGAAGAGGAGAATGTTATCGATAGAGTCGTTAACGGCAAAGAATATGCTAGCGTTTGATATAGCATTTATGATGTTAAGGCTTTATCTCTACACGCGCGCGTGGGCGCACAGTAGCTAGCACATGAAGGACATTGTTGGATCTTCTATGCGCGCTGGGAGGGTTGTCGGGGTACCTCCCCCCTCCTGAACTCGATTCTGACCTCCATTTTACGCTAAAGGGGCATTTTGTCCGGTTATGATGTCCCATTTTTGCTGACCATTTGTCTATTTCCTTTCCAATTCGTTATGATTGTAATTATTATACTTACAAGGGAAGCATACAACCCTAATTTCTCATACGAAGGCTGATGGATATGACAATTGCTATTCGGTAAGGTCCCTTGTCTTGTCAGCCACTCAAATCTCTATATGCCATCGCGAATGACCTTTTCACTTGATCTGAGATGGCGTGCCACAGCTCTAGTTTGCAGGTAAAATGTTGGACTGAGCCTTGTGGAAACAATACTCGGCATTTCTGACCGTAGTCTTACAAAATGGTACCAAAGGCTTGTTCTGACCGGAAACTTCGACAAAAAACCTCCTGCTGAGAAGACCTCAAAGTGGCCGAAGCATGTTTGTGAGTTTGTATATCCACATACTTCTTGAAGGCATTGTGCACCTTCTCGATCTGCCTACGTGGAAATACATCCTCGTTTTATTTGAATAATTGCATAAAGCTATTCTAGAGGTATTTGCTACAGGTGGGTGTCTTTCCGATGCGACCATTTGTCAGTCGTTGCGCTTTGAAAAAGTATGAAGAAAGCGAGCATCAGAATGTCTGCCTCGGGAACACAAGGAATACAGCTCTCGACTTTCGTCGTTCTACAGCGGTCCTAGCCAGCTCGTATCTGTAGACGAAACATTAGAAGATGGAAGGCAATGTAGAATCCGCTATAGCATCATTCGCAGTAGTTGGTGGACTTTTAATTTTGTGTATTCTAGATTTAGATCTGTACTACGTCGTCATGTATGGTCTGCACGGCTCACGACCGCCACCGTACCTGTTCCGTTTTCGAAGGACAAGCGGCTGTTCGTGCTTGCAGCAGTGAACGTCACGGTTTTGTTTTCAGGTATTGCGTGGAAGATGCTTTCTCGCGCGAGACCTTTCACGAAGTTTTCAAGAAAACGTTGCAATCCATGGCCGCCATCACGCTCGATTGCTATCTCTGATAATTCCAAGACTCACATGTACATGTACGAGGAGCTACAAGCTCTACTGCTTTTCTTTCTACCACCATACAGCTCCGACTTCAATCCGATTGAAGCGGGGTTTTCACTTCTGAAGCGATTGCTACAGCGTCATGCCAACATGGGCTTTCGAGATAAGAACACAATCGCAAGATCGATAAGATACCTTAACCCGACCGCCTCCTGGAGGACGTGAAGCACGTGGTGCAATTTTTCCGCCCAGGCAGTTTGGGATGGGAGGAGCCGGCTCAGAGTCGCTTTACAGTGAATCATCGTGGACCACCGTCTGGCCTTTGCTATAGGCCCTGTGTTTGGAAGACATGAAGTCGTCGAATGGTCAACTGAAGAAGTCCACTGAAAATACGTCTCTTTGGTAACCCGATATTGTCCCCTGAAGCTCTCCTGGTGGTGTGTGATGCAGACTTTAGTATGTCAGGACGCGTTAGAGAAACAATAGTAGAATTGACCGTACCTGCACTGGGAGCCGGAATGCGCGGCCAACTCGACCGGCTTGGTGAACCGACGCCTCACTGGATGAAGGCCAAAACGAATGTGTTCCGGTGGGGAGATGGCCCTGGGCCACATGATCTAGAGACTGGGAGTGACGATGCCGGGATCTCGATCGACGTACAGTGGAGAGGAGAGAGGCATCGGCAGTATCGTGGATGACTATAGCGACTACGGTGGTTTTTTTATGAGACCGAGGTGGGGGAGGGGGGCTGGCTGGACCTGGGCCTGAAATGGTCGTACTTGTTGCTGCAGGGAGACAACAGCGGCAGCCATTGTGGACATCAGGGTACGTTAGTCTGACGCTGCTCCTGAAGCATGACCTGGAGAAGATTGGGGTCGGAGGCCACAGCAGCAGCCGAAGGGACACCTGGTGTCCGCGATGCACCCATCGTGGGGTGGGTAACAAACTTCGTGCATGGGGTAGGTCCTGTATCTGCGTTAGTGATCAGCATGGGGCTGTCGTCGCTGTAGTGGCGATGCTTTGTGGGGTGAAGTTGTCGTCTCGCGTGGGGCCACGAGTCGCCACGTCCAATCCGCCAGCACATGGAAGCCTTCGTCCAATGCGGGATACATACGTAATGGCCCGCGTACCTAAGTCCACAGTGGAGTAGCCCTCCGCACCCGGTGCAGGAAAGGCTTACGTCAAATTCGGTCAAACGTCGGCTGAGCCGATGGGTGTCGACGAGGTGAAAGCCTTCCAAGGAGTTCTACACGGTGGGGGGGGCACCAGGTGTTCCATGACAGAAAACAAGGATAAATGCTTCATGAGATATTTCTATGCCGCGCACGTTATCAAAAGGAATGCCCACAACATGCCGGCGTTTTGAGTGTAGCGTCGAATGGCTATTGTGCACACGTAGCCACAACCTGGGTTCAGGATCAGGTCGCTTGTGTCCACCAACGCGATGGGAAATGTGTTCCCGTACTCAATCACTTGTCCACGCAGCAAAACCTCAGAGGTCCTGTGAACTAACTTGTCGGCATGGGCGCAATACAAAGAAAGGGGCGAGCCAAGGGAGCTGGAACATCGTGAGCAGCGAACGCTCCAGGAGCTCCAAACCACTAGACGTCAACGTGATTCTGGATTGCTGCGTCGAGGTCCGAGCGACGGTGGCCCGGAAGAAGAAACACTGAAATGGCATGTCAGGCAGGCCGCTTCACAGCAAACGAGATCGAGGTGGTCACGAGTAGACACGGATCGCGGTCGAGTGTCGCATACACAGGGCCGCCCCAACGACCTGAGCGTTTGTCGAACAACTCCAATCGAATCGTGCGACTCCCGAGGTTAGCGTACGACGAGCGCCGCGGGTACCAGACTGGAACGAGGGAACGCGACAGCAGGGGCCATAATCTCGCTGGCAACCTGGCTGCTTCTTCACGTAACCCTGAGCTTCCTGGGTCGGCCGAGCTCTGAATTTCTGGCGGCAAATCGACAAATGGCAGGGATTCGTCGATCGGTTCGGTTCGGGA